AGTAGTACCCTAAACCCTAAACCCGACAAAGGCTGGGGGGGTGAAGCTTTGAGGGGAGGAGGGCGCTGAATGCATGAGAGGTGAAGTGGTCGGGCTCCAAGAGACTACGTACGACTTCGGATTTCAGGTTTAGGGTTTTGGGTTTGAGGTTCAAGGTTTTGGGTTAAGGGTTTAGGGTTTAGGGGTTTAGGGTTTAGGGTTTAGGGTTTGAGGGTTTAGGGGTTTGGGATTTAGGATCTTGGTTTGGGGGTTCCAGGGTGTTGGGGTTTTGGTGCTTCTGGTTTTGAACGGAGGCTGAGAGTTAAACATATGGGAAGCCGAAGAACACTCAGCGCAAACAACTAGGGATATGATGATGGTGATGCTGATGATGACGATGGTGATGATGATGATGATGATGATGATGGTGGTGATGATGGTGATGGTCATGATGCTGATGCTGACGCTGACGCTGATAGTGGTCATGGCGGCGCCGGCGGTGTTAGTAGTCATGGGGCCAGCGGTGGCGGCGGTGGCCGGGGGCGTGTTGGGGGGGTGACGGCACAGGCGGGCGGCGGCGGTGGTGACGGTGGCGTCTGCTGCGGCGGCCCGACAACATGCCAGAGAAATGACCAAAAGAACAGAGCGGCACAGCACAACCAGAAACACTCTTTCAATGCTGCAAGAAACTTGTTCCCGACGATCTCCTACCCCAAACCCAAAACCCTAAAACCTCACAATAAATCTCCACGGGCTCGGTCCTTCGGCTTGATTCGCTGATTCTCTGCCGCGCCATTCAGATCATCTACCGGCATGGCTGTGAAGGTTTACAGTAGGGTTTAGGGCTCTCTGATCTTAGTTTTGCTAGGGCTTGAGGGTTTGGAGTTAAGGCGCCTGGGCTGGACTTCTTGGACTCCGGTGGTCTCGGGTTCTAGGACAGGTTAGGGCTACCCTTTACCCTCAGCCCTGAACCCCAAAACTCTGAACCTTGGGCCCTTGGCGGGCTCAAGACTGCGAAGCTCTGGGGGCATTGGTGCGACTCTGCTTCTCGGGGCTTTCGTCACAAGGAGAAGCAGCCCAAACAAAACGGTCCGTAGCAGACGCCATGCTGTGCTGCTGATTTCCCGGTTCTTCTAGGGATTGTGGGGAGGAATACCAGTGTTCCAAGTTTGTGGCTTCTAACTCTGAAGACTGCAAGAGCCCTGTGTTGCAGGTTTCGCTGTCCAGGCTAAAGGGGCGGGGTGCTGCGCAGAAAGCTCTAAGGCTGTACATGAACGTCGAGCCGGATCGAAGCGCAGATTTGTTTGAGCGCCATCAGAATTCGCCGGGGCCGTGGCAACAGTATCAACCCCGTTTCATGCTTGATGTCTGCAATGATATTCAAGTGTGACAGTAGTGCAAACAGAAGCTGACAGCTACATTCGCACGTAGGCTCTATTCTAAACCCCAAACCCTAAACCCGAAACCCTAAACCCTAAAGCCTAAACCCTAAACCCTAAACTTAAACCCTATACCCTAACCCCCAGAACCGAAGCCCGGTTTTGGGATTAGGACTTAGAGTCTGGTAGCTATTTGGCTTTGCTCAAAGCGACCAGGAATCAACTCAACTGTCGGGTCGCAAGAAACCTGTAAACGGTTTAGGGTTTAGGGTTTAGGGTTTAGGGTTTAGGGTTTAGCGTTAGACGGGGTTATGCGTGTTTCAAGCCGCCACCAAGTCGGTGCTAGTAGTTCTAGTGGGTGAAGGCACGGGCCGTGCTCCAAAGTGGCGCAAGGTTTGGGATGAATATAAGAAGAACCAAACAAAGAGGAACTTTTTGGGGCCCTACACAAAACAGGATCTGGCAGAGGTACATCCTGGACCTTTTCTGTTTCCATACCTTGCCAGCGAACTGCGCTTTTTGCGCACAAGAGCAGCTTAGCCTGACCGGCTGAGCCGTGAAGGGTGTGGTTTGGGCCTGTCGGGCACCAGAAACCCTTGTGCAGGCATGTCTCGTGTATGTATATGTATATATATATATATACATACATATGCACATATATATATATATATATATGCAAACATACATATGCATATATATATATATGTATACATATGTATGAATGTGCACGTGCATTTGTATACGCATACAAACATTTTGCATACGTAATACTAGTTCTGCAGCAGAGGCTATCTGGAATCAGGCCGCTGCTGACGAGCAAGAGTTGGTGGGGAAGTTGCAAAACTCCCAAAGGTGCTGCTGGCTGTTGCAAGTACACGGACTGTACATGGTGGGCTAAGCACCCACCGGCAAAGAAGCAGCGCAATGTGTATCTTGGTACCAGACCTCGTCTGCATGAGCAGCGAACACCCCTGCCCTAAGCCTACTATAGGGGTCGGAATATCTCATCAAAATATCCCCTTAGACACCGACACACCCTGGTCTAAGTACTTTCTACAAGCTCAGCATAGTTGCTGAGTTCTCCGGCCCAGAAAAGCTTAACCTGTCTCTTTCTGCTAGGATTTGATACACCCCACCACCCAAAACCCTAAACCCTAAACCCTAAACCCTAAAACCTCAAAAGGACCCGAAAGCTTGAAGGCGGTCCCCTTAAGCCCTAAACCCCAAACCAAGCAAGTCCGAGGCCCAGTATTTTGGATGCAGCTTCGGCTTAAGGCTCAGGTCCTGTAGGGTTTAGGGTGTAGGTTTTAGTAGGGTTTAGGGTTTAGGGTTTAGGGTTTAGGGTTGAGGGCTTAGGGTTTAGGGTTTAGGGTTTAGGGTTTAGGGTAGAAGCCGATGACAAGAAGCCCCACCCGACATCCTCAAGACAGTAGGCAGTCTCGTGGGCTTAAACTCCTTTGACCGCTTACCCTGAGCCCTGTACCTTACTTTTCCGAACTCTAAACCCTAAGCCCTAAACCCCACCTTGCCCATCTCTAAACACTAAATCTTAAACCAACCCCAAAGCCCTAAACCCTACCTTGCCGAACCCCCACCGTGCCGAACTCTAAACCCTGAACCCTAAACCCAACCCTACCGAACTCTAAACCCTAAACCTTAAACCCTAAACCCCAAACCCCACCTTGCCGAAGCCTAAACCCTAGGCCCTAAAGCCAACACAACCGAACTCTAAACCTTAAACCCTAAGCCCTAAACCCTAAGCCCTAAACCCTGCCGAAGCCTAAACCCTCTGCCCTAAACCCAACACAACCGAACTCTAAACCTTAAACCCTAAAACCCAAAACCCAAAACCCCACCTTGCCGAAGCCTAAACCCTAAACCCTAAACCCTAAACCCCAAACCCCAAACCCCAAACCCCAAACCCTAACCCCAAACCCTAAACCCCAAACCCTTACCCTGCACACAGCCTGTGCAAGCCTGAAGCTCCTCGACTCTGCATCTTCAGCCCCCATGCAAACGAAGCCCCATGCAAACGAAGCCTTTAGGGTTTAGGGTTGTTTAGGTTTTTGTTTAGGGTTTTTAAGGTTTTTCAAGGTTTTTTAAATGCTTTTTAGGGTTGTTTAGGGTTTTTTGAGGTTTTAGGGTTTAGGGTTTAGGGTTTAGGGTTTATCCTTGACGAGGTCCGACCCTCCCCGGTGGCAATTGAAAAAAGACGCCCTCCTTTGGAGGCAATCGCCGTTGACAAGGGTTCAGGTTTTGGAGAGGGGTGGGGTTAGGGTATTAGGGTTTTGGGGTTTAGGGTTCAGGGTTGAGAGTTTAGGGTTTAGGGTTTAGGGTTCAGGTTTTAGGGTTCAGGTTTTGGAGAGGAGTGGGGTTAGGGCTTATAGGGTTTAGGGTTCAGGTTTTAGAGTTCGTGTTTGTTGGGGAGGGGTGGGGTTAGGGTGCAGGTTTTAGGGTTCCGGGCTCAAGGTTAGGAAACTGAATCATACCCCCTCCTAAGTGTCCATTGAATAAAACCATGATCCACCACCTGCCATGATTCTCGGGCGTGGTTTCTTCGGTAGAAGGGGTTCGGGAAAATCAGGAACACTACGAAGAGCGAGATCCTTACTACAAGGACCCTAAACCATCCTAAACCCTAAAACCCTGCACCCGAAACCTTAAACTCTAAACCCTATACCCTCATCTCTAAACCCGAAACCCGAAAACCTAAACTCGAAACCCTATTTCCGAAACCCTAAACCCTATACCCTAAACTCTAAACCCCATACCCTAAACCCTATAACCCTAAACCCGTAAGTTGAACAAGGCCCTAGTTGTCTTCGGCCTTTTGGACAAGGTCAGGCTCCCTACGGCGGATGTGTGGGCGGATGTGGGGTTCTCGGTTTTACCTAGAAGGTGCAGAACTAATTAGTGTTCACAGTCGGGTTTTAGGGTTCAACGTTTAGGGAACGTAGGGTTCTGGGCTTCAAGCCCCTTCAAAGTTGAAAGGAAGTTTAGAAATTGGAAATTTATACAGTGTTGCATCTTCTCGCGTGCCGGCGCGCTCGTCAAAGGACCCTCGCACCTTGCGCAGACATGGAACGCTAAGCTACACCTTCATCAAATACTCGAAACTCGATGCATTGTCTAGTTAGGCTGTGCTCCAAATCGTAAGTTGAGCTTCTGAAACTTTTATTCCACACCTGAACCCAGTACCCAAGAAACAATGTAGAGCCCTGATTCACCACCCCTGTGAAGGCATGAATATTATGAGCATCCATCCTGTGAAAACGTGCGGGTTATTCATCAGGAACACATTACCCGACCACAACCCCAAAAACAACATCCAACCCTAAACCTTCAACCCTAAATGCTAAGCCCCGAATGTGCCTGGGCCTGTGGCCTTGCATTCATGAACTTAGGGTTTAGGGTTCATGGCTTAGGCTATAAGGTACAGGAAGTCCGCAGAAGCACCACACACCATTTACACTCACTAGTAATTCTTGCCGAGGAGCCCTCTGTACACTCTCCAAAATCCGAAGTATACACCCCTAAACCCTAAACCCTAAACCCTAAACCCTAAACCCTAAACCCTAAACCCTAAACCCTAAACCCTAAACCCTATCCCCTAAGTAGTCCTCATAAACCCCAGGACTAGAACCGGCGTCCCCAACTGCGGCGAAGGCCCAAGACGGTCCAAAGTCAAGTTTTAGAGTTTAGGGTTTTGAGGTTTAGGGTTTGGGGTTTTAAGGTTGGGGGTTAAGGTTTAAGGTTTTAGGGTTGAGGGTCTAGGATTTGGGGTTTAGGGTTCGGGGTTTGGGGTTCAGGGCATGCGCAAAACGCGTCAGTAGCTGTTCCACGCCTTCGTCGAGCCTAGCCCTGGTAGGTGGCCAGACGGCGTCTTGTCACGTGTCCTTGGTCCCAAGGTTTAGGGTTTAGGGTTTAGGGTTGGTCCTTTATGTTTGTTTCGGTATGATTCGGGAGAGAGGTTTAGGATTCAAGGTCCACATCAATGGCTAAGGGTTCAGGGCTTGGGGTCCATGGGGTTTGGGTTTGGTTGCGGGCTTACAGAGTAGGGCTCAAGCTTAGGGCTCTTGACATAGATGTAGCCCCGATGTATGTTCTTGATCTCAGCACTGCAAATATCAGGTGGCGGTTCGAGCTTTGTCTTCAGTTGCAGCAGAACTCAATCAGGTAACTACACATCTGGTCGACATCTTTTAAACCGACTTCCTTGTAAAAACAGACCCGACTGTCAGGTCAGCCCAGGCCCACGTCCCGCAAGTAATGTAGGGGCCGTAATAGTTAGAATAAGGTTTGAACGGCTCCTTATTCTAAGTATGATACAATAATACGCAATACCCTACCGTTCTAATTATTAAGGCCCCTTTTTCAACCAAACAGCCTAAACTACCCAAATCTGCGGCTGAGCAGCGTGATCAAACAACGACGGCAGCGGCTGCAGATGCTGCGAGTGCTGTGCCGCCAGTGCCGCAGCTCGAGAATGGATTCGCGAATGGACTTGCGATGAGGCAGCTGTTGAGTGGCTGATCTGGTCCAGCACTTCCTGCCGTTCCCCCCAGAGGTTTAGCCCAAAACCCAATACCAGAAAGCAACAAACCTAATTAAAACCCTCCACTCTAAGCCCTCAGCCCTAATCGCAAAGCCCTCCAGCCCTTAGCCTTAAACCCTAAAAGCCCTAAGCCCTAAACCCTAAACCCTAAACCCTAAACCCTAAACCCTAAACCCTAAACCCTAAAAGCCCAAAAAACCCAAAAGCCCTTGGCTCTCGGGTCCCGAAGACACGTGAGCTCTGCTTCGACGTATCCCTGGAAACGCCCCATGCTCCGAATTATCCAGCGCCTCAGTGCGGATTTAAGGCTTAGGGAATGGGGGAGTGGGTTTAGGGTTTAGGGTT